TGAATTCTCTCAATTTTACTGCCACTTGAGTTGTCTTCCCGGATGGTCAGATTTAGACCACATATACTTCAAAAGATGATGCATAATAATATGTATTATTTGAGCTTGGAAATAGGGGTGTAATTTTCTTGTCGATATGAAGAGCCCTAAAGAGAGTTTCTCCATTATAATGCGCTTTTTGTTCAGCTCTCTGTAATATTTTGCTCACATAGTAGATAGGAAATTGTGTTTTATTTTCTTCACGAATGAGTATTGAACTGATGGCTTCTCCACCAACTGCTAGGTTGGTGTACAACTAGTGACATTGAACTCTGGAGCAGAGGAAATAACGATAATAAGGTCTTTAGTTGTATGATTCTTTAGTCCAAGCGAACCGGCTGGAATTTGAGATAGATTTGAAAAAGGGGGAACAACGGTCTTCGGATTTTGAGCTGAATCTACTTATTCCTGCAATCCGTCCAGTCAGGACTAGCTTTCGTTCGAGGCTCTTTGGCGGTGACATATCCAGTATAGCTTGGTTCTTCTTGGGATTGGGCTTGATTCCTTTGGATATAAGTATCCAAGGAATTTTCTGGAGCTAACTCCAAAGGTATAATTCAAAGGATTGAGCCTCAAGTTGAACATTCTCGGAGTAACGAAAGTTTCTTCGAGGTAATGTATATGCTGCTCGAATGATTTACTTTTCACGATGAGATCATCAATATATATATTCATATTTTTATTTTTGAATAATAAAAATTACATCCATCAACTTTTGATCGGTTGTTCCAACATTTTTTAAGCTAAAGAGAATCACATTGTAAAAATAAACTTCATCTTTAGTGATGAAGATAGTTTTTTCTCTTATCAGCAGGGTGCATCATTATTTAATGATACATGGAGAAGATGTTTAAGAAACTTATGACTTGATATTCTATTGTCGAATTAACCAACACATCAATCCACGACAGTATGGCTGCCTTTAGGGCAACCTGCTTTCAGGTTGGTGAAGTCAACACACATCTTCCACATACCATATGTTTTTTTTTTCACCATTACCACATTAGCAAATCAATAAAGGCACTGCACTTCCTAGATAAAATTAGCATTTATTTGCTTCATCACGTCTCGTCGAATAGGTTGAGCTAGGTTATTTGCCATGACTCACATTTTTTACTTGAGGGACTTGGATCCTGGGTTGATTTTTAGCTGATGTTAGATGATTTTGATGTCAACCCCAGACTTTTTATGGGGAGTCCACATGAAGGCGTATCAATGACTCCTCAAGATAGTGATAAGCTAATCCCAGTGATCTGTGCTAAAATTGACACTGATTAAAAAGTTACTTGTTTCTTTTTTGTAAACAGATAGATTTTGGGACTTTGACATTTTTATTTAAATTACTACTCGTCGATTTTCTCGAGTTTTTCATCATGGATTATTTGTCGATTTTCCTCAAGTTTTCCAGGCGACGTTTCCATTGTTGTTCACTTTTGCCTATACAATACATGCTAGCTCGTTCCTTAAATTCTATAGCTCTACTTATAACTGCTACATAAATTACACTTAAAGGAGCAGCGGGTCTCCGAGGTATACATGTTTGTTTTACATTTGCAGCGCTTTATTTTACAACACACTTTACTATTCTTGTCTACTGTACATTCTACTGCTTTCCTTTGTTATACCTGCTACTGCCTCTTTTGCACACTATACATTAGAATAGGCGGACAGTAGTTGGTTTTATAGGGGGTACTCGGCAGCAGACCGTTGACTCAACTATTGCATATACACTTAAAATTAACATCGAACTCGAAAGTGCTACGACGAGGAGCTTGGAGCTAGCGTTGTGCGTTGTGGTGTGGGCAGCACGATCATCTTCAACAGCAGAACACGTCTACACCAGCTAAACCACTCATTAGAAATTAAAACAACAATCCATAAGACTTCGAAGTTGTTTGCCTAATGCAACATAAATCCTCAACTTTTCTTTAGGCATTTGTATAACTATACTGTGCAATCTAAGCCTTAACTTGTTTTAAGATCCCGAGGTTGTCATTCGTTACGACATAAATCCTCACATCTTCCAGGTTATTCGTGTGATCTTTTAACACAAATGTAAACTTTAATTAAATAAAATTGATAGGATGAAACACTTAAATAATTTCTCCTCGAAACCGAAGCCAAACCATAAGGTAGACTAGGAAGTCACCGAGGTTTCCCTTCGGATCTGTGACAATCCCTAGTTCTTCCTCTTTTGGATTCTATAACAAATGCTCCAAAGTTGAGCCAATCCCATTTCACACCTCTTTGTCCGATATCACTGAAAAGTCTTATCCTTTTAAAATCCTATCATATCCTTTTGACACCTTTGAAGATAATATTTCCTGATTTTTATCGAGAGTTTTCTTAAGTGACTTCCGTCATTTAAGATGTAATTAACTATAGGGGCTTGCCCTTATAGGAAGCTTTTCCGAACCCAGCTTAATATAAACCCTATTTAATTCTTCATATTAAATAGGAGAACTTGTCGGTAAATAAAATGGTTTCGCAGA